TAATGCTCAAATATCTACTTAATTTATCAAAATATCACATATTTGCAAAAGTGCTTCCACGTTTTCGGAGAGCTCTGTTATCCACCAGCGCAATAGCTGACCGGGAGGTCAAGGCTTGATAAGAGTCCGCGAGCACAGCTAACTCCTGGCGTATTGTTTTCAACCCCCTGCGGTCTTTTGCTACTCAGGTTAAACATTATATATATATATATAGTTAGTTGGTCAATTATGGCTATGGATTGAAAATCCCCCCCACACCCCACCCCACCCCTAAAGGCTATGTAACCGGTGTGGCTCTGCGTTGTGTCTGATAAAAAAGGTAAAAGAAAGAAAGACCTCCAAGTAAATAATTTGCCCACTCCAGCTCCTACGACCAAATACAAACAGTGGGGAAGAGGGTTAGCTCAACCCACCACAACTTCCAAGCTAGCAAGGAATAGATATTCATGCTAGCATTTATGGCGCCTAAAACACATTTATGATACACACATAGTGCACACTTATAACATCTAACAAAAACAGGCTTAATAATGGCAATAATTGAACTAAAATCACAATCAGAAACATCAGGGTGGCTAAATATGAATTATATGTGTGTTTTAAGGTGTTGGAAAGAAATGACACCCACCTCTCCCACAGGGGAATTGTAGAAAAGGGGAGAGGCAAAAGGGGTACACTGTATTTATAGGATTGCACCAAAGAAGAAGAAGAAAAGAATGAGGAGGGGCTCTAACTGATAATGAACATAACTACAGGCTTGGAGGTCCTAAAAGTCAGGTATAAAAGGAATGGTTTGGGGGTTTAGAACACATTTTGTGTAATTATAACAAGATGTGATTTATGACCCTGTTACAGCTGCACCTCCCGAAGATCAAACAATGAAATGACCTCTAAACAAGGTGACTGAATGTGGAAATATGAATCATAATACGTAAATGTACAGAAATATACAGTTAACAGTTGGTTTAAGTAATAATTGATTGCATGCCCTGGGACAGACTGACAGAGGCGAGGCTGCCATATCGCACCATCGGCCCCTTTGGTTATCACTAGTAGGCGGTAGGTGAAGAGTCTTGACCACGGACACAACGACGGAGAGTGTCCGAGCCGGGGCGCGAACCGGCAATCTTCTGATCACAAGGCAAACTGCCAACTCTTGAGCCACGAACGGCCTAACTCGCAACGATAATAATACTTATGTGATGTAACACAAGCTTATAGGGATCATGTTATATACTTTTCCATAGCATTACATTTGAATTCGATCTTTCAAATAACGGACAGATATTTGTGAGATCATGATACATTTGTGAATGTATTTTAACATTCTAAATATGCATATGTACAGACAGATACATTTAATAATCATGACAATTATGTTGTATTACATTACAGTGATTTAATGTTAATTTACATTCAAAATGTGAAGTCAAAGTCTATTTACGTAACTTTAATGATATTCTAGAAGAACAGAACATTACTGTAAAATGCACAGAAAAATACCTTCATATTAGGGTTTTTTCCTACGGTCGCAGCGTTACCCGCAACCTTGTTGTTAGTTCACATTCATTGGCCGATGCTTAGCGTCATGTTATTTATATTAATTGCAATTCCTACCTCTACATTTCTTTTTCAATACATATAATTAGCACAGCGTGGCCATGCAATGTTTTACATTGTGGCATGCAGAGAAATCTTAACAAAGAAGCTCAAAGAGAGAGCTTGAGCTTGTTATTTAACTCCAAGCTGGTAGGGGGAGCTCCTTAATAAAACACTTACGGTGCTACAATGTGCCTCAATGTTCAACAACAGCACAACAGAAGTCACTCATGGTACAGCACTCTCTCTACAAAACAACAACTGTGAGTGACTCTGCACCACGGCGTAAACATAACATTCAAGATAACGGTTTAAAGTAACGTAACCATAAACAATAAAACAAGAACATCTAAACAGCAGCACATGTCCCAAGGCATGATGGGAGACATTTCTGGATGTATTTTTACGATCTAAATATGCATATGTACAACAAAATATATTTAACAAACAAGTAAATTGTGTTTTATTACATTTACAGTGATGTTATGTTATTTTACATTTGACGTGTCAGATCACAGTCTACTTATGTAAATGTAATGATATTCTAGAAAAACAGTACACATCTGTAAAATACACAGTAAAATCATTTGACATTACTATTTTTGGAACAGTGTAGGCTAACACTAACTAGCTAACAAGATTATAAACCTGGTGCTAAACTAAGAGAAGCCACAAAATCAGTTTGAATAAGAGTAAACATTTACTCGCCAAGTGTATCAGGTAAAGATCCACAGCAATGACAACAATAATATCTTGAGCTGACGCTTTTCCAGGTTTGCTCAACATATTCCATAACAAATGCTGGCACCATGAACATGCGAACTGATCCGAGAGGGAGGAGGACAGTAGTCACGTGGCATTTTCAAAACACATCTTTCATCCTTCCGCACTGAGAAGCAAAACTTCCATCTTACTTAGTTTTTCTAAGTTAAGATAACTCAAATAAATTGAGTTTATCAGCGTGTTTGCATAAAAAGTACTGGTAACTTATTTAAATCGAGTTCTAATAACAAATTGATAAAAACTGAGTTCAGCCTATTTAATATTTTTAATTAAACACAATATTACATTTTACAGTGCACGATGCCCAGCTGGAAACACTTCAGCTACCCGAGATTCACTGAATTTACAGAAAATGTTACATTTTTGTGATTTATATCGTTATCGGACGATAGATGTTTTATATCGGGATATGAGATTTTGGTCATATCGCACAGCCCTACTCTGAGGGGGGTTAGTGAAGTGGCAGTTGCCCACTCTGCCGCCCTCACCATCCGCTGCAGTTTTTTCTTGTCCTCCACATTTTTATTTTTTTTTAATTTGCCAAAGATTTCTGACAAATATTTTGTACATTGCTGGTATTACAGTTAATAAAACTCATACACTTGAGGTATTATAGTGAATATTCAATGTAGAAAATGAGTCACCTTGAATCACCTCCCCTCCAGCAGGCCAGAAAAAGCAGTCCTGCATCCAGTTTTGCTGTCTTGATGTCTCTCATATTCTTCTATCACCGTTTCTTTTAAGTTGCAGACATGACAGTCCAACGACAGGCCACCCTATTTTATGTGAAGCATGAAGCCAGTGATAACAAGTAATAAGAAGTTGATAACTGGGGATTTTAACCTGAACCTGCTTCATGGTGCAGCTCTCAGGTTTCTCTTGAAAACGTGTTTAACATCAGTGAGACCTTTACTCAACTATTACCCAATAAGCTCCTCTAAATTAAGAAATTTGTTTCCTTGCTCACCCCATTATTATACACATACTCTATGATACCTGTGTCACACCACAGCATCATCCTGTCCCAGGACAGTGATGGGTTCTGTAGCTGTCCTCTTCCTTCTGAAGCTGATCACAATCTCTCTGGTCTTATTTACATTCAGCAGATGATTCATCACAAACCACTCTGCAAAATCATCAATCATCAAATTGCAATCACATTATGCAATGGAAAAACATGTGTTAGTTTACTGATGATAACTGATTATTTCTTGTTGAACTTGTTGAGCTTTTTCCAAGGATCTAAAGAAAGAGATTCTTCCACTGTAAGAAGTCCAAGTTGTTTTTTGTTTTCCAGCTTAGAAGACGGCCCTCTTGGTGACAATAAAAGCTCTGAATGGACTAGCAGCAGCACATGTTTGCAATTATAATGTTGCAATCACATATGTTCATGCTTTTTATGGCCATAGTTACGACTGACTAAAGGATGCTGTTCCTTCTTGCATTATATTGCGTGGCTGTGCTTTTATTTGGGATTCATGTGTAGATTGCAGACTTTTAAATGTAGTCTTCAAATGAGTTTGTAAAAATACATTTTTGTACATGAAGATTTTATTTTCAGTCAAAACTATGATGATGTTTGCATGGTGTAGAAAGACAATAGACTTAACCAATAAAAAAAAACTGAAGTTTCTAATGCACTTAGAGGTTTCAGATCACAATACAGTATAAAAATCAAGACCAGCTATACGGCTGTGCATTTTTCTGTTTGTTTAGTCAGCTGTAGGCTGTACAATACATGGGTGGTGATTGAGGTCACACAGTCCCCTCAGTCGTCTCTTTCAGCTCCTCTTCAGTGACCGCAGGCTGGTAAGTCTCTGTGAGTCAAATAAGCAGATCCATTATAAACACAAACCGAGATCTTGCACAAAAGTTGATCAACTTGTGGTTAAATATGAAAGTCTGTGGTCTGGATATTCATCTACATAAAAAATAGGCCAATTTTGACACATGGAAGCAGAAAAAAGCACCAACAGTGTTTAAGAGAGCTACTTCATGCTGGCTGACAGGACAGAAAAATTATATTTGTGCTTTACTGTAATGAGAAGTCAAAAAGTATGTTGTGGAAAAAAGTCCAGCTTTCCCTTGCGCTACACATCAAAAAGTATTTTTAACACTATTCTTCCAATTTTTAAAAAACACAAATGCAAGGCTTTACTGTTTGTATTAGAGCCTTCATACCTTATATTTTTAGTGACATTGTTTTTTTGGTTTTTTTTAAGGTGAAAAGTCTTGTTTCAGTGTTTCAGCATGACTAAAGTATAAACTGGTCCTTCCCAACATTTACAACAGCCTTTGTTTTAAAAACTAACAAAAGTTATTCTAAGATCTCATACTTGTAATTCAGACTCCAGTCTGTTTTATATTTAATATCTTTAGTTCAGATGAATAACAAGGAAATTATATACAGTAGAATAAACACCCCTCTCTGTTCTATGTACCTTTATAAAAGGTCAGTTTTGATGCTATTAAATGAGGAAACAAATGAGGGTATGTCATTAGAGGTTCAAGATTGGTCTCTATAACCTACAAAATAAAAGCTTACATCAAATCTGCCTTGCTTAGATTAATGCCCACTAACAACTGTTATTAATCATCAACACTATAAAGGGTCAAGGCTGAACTTATTCTTGTTTACTCTCCCTGTTTGTTCCCCATGTTTTTTCTTGTGTCATAAAAGGCCTTAGATAACCTGATGTACCTTTCTCCTTTTTCGTGAACCTTCGGTAGCACCTGAACAGCACGACGAGCACCAATGCCTCCGTCACCTGAAAAGACCCATAGATCATTGGGAACAGAAACAGAGGGCCTATCACTTCCTGGGGGAAAGCTATCTTCAATATGGTGATGCACAGCTGGATGTTCTGACAGCCTGTTTCCACAGAAACGGTCCTCCGCTCCCTGGTGACAGACACACATGTTCATGAGTCATGAATATAAACAGAAAGGCTCATAATTCTTTCATCTTTGATGTGACTGCCTTGACTTGACTCGATGACTGAATTAAGCCAAAGAACCTACGACTGGCTGAGTCTGAAGATCGCAGAGAGGACATATCCAAAGGAGTAGCCTATCAAAGGCATGAGAGCAGCGATGGCCAAGAGCGGAGGAGACAGCACAGTCAGCATGACTCTTCCGATTCCAATGTTGGTTAAGGTGACGATCACCGCGATAAAAATCATCATTATAATTAGGCCTACCTGCAAACAGCAGGACACGAAACAAATCAACTCCATAGCAATTTGACAGTTGACTGACAAGCATTTTAAGGCAAAATGAGGCGTATTCCCTTTTCTTCATAACAAATGTGGCAGATAAAACATTGTGAGCTGAACTTGTATTTGACCACAGTAGTAAACAGTTAAGGTAATTACTTTTTTTTAATTAAAGCTGAAAGTCTGACTTGAGTCACAACTTGATTGCTTGATTTAAAACCCACCATGATTGTGTACAGATGCAAAACTACAAAAAATGACTGTTGAAAAACTTAAGGACCTGACTCTGTTGTCAACAGATCCAATAAAAAGATCAAAACCAAAAATAAGCCGATCCAGTAACAAATAGTGAAGCCTGATTTCTGATTTCGAAGTGATACAGAGATCCTTTACCATCCAAAAACCAGAACACCGTTCTCTAAACCATGTACTGGTTCACATTGACCTGGTTACCTATATACCACCCTGGTCCAAAGAACTCTTTAGGACTCACTGGGTAGTCATGTGATGTGAGAAAAATGAGAAAGATTAATTTAAAACATGTGACACACAAAATCAAACACTTGATTGATGTAAGAAAGTTTTGACTGATGATGTACTGATAAACATCTCTGTGCCAGTTAATCAACACTGTTTATCAGTTCTAGTGATCTGTCCAACCTTCAGACTCTTGTGAGTATGCACAGACCTTTGTGATGATCTTTGAGTACTGCGGCCTGTAGGTATTGATGATGATGCCAATGCCGCACGGCACCAGGATCATGACCAGTGATACGATAATTTCAACATAAGGGACAGCGTTCTGCAGGTCGGAGAAACCCTGACAGTAGAGGTAGAGCAGGAGAGGCATCATACCAAGAGCCAGCAACGTTGAGCAAGAGGTCATCACGATGCTGAAGGAAAAAGTTAAGCATGAGACCGTGACAGCTTTTATCTTTTTGTAGCACCATAATGCTCAAAATTTCCTTCTCAGCATTATGTTGACAAAATGCATTCAAAATTTATCATAGTGTGAGACACTTCATAAACACAACACGAACAGGTTGCACAAATTCTGACTGTTCCAGAGGTTAAATACATTCTGTTTATATAGTGCCAAATCACAACAACAGTTACCTCAAGGTGCTTTATTTTGCAAGGTAAAGACCCTGCAATCAGATGACCCCCTATGAGCCAATGAAGAGAAACCAATGTGGAAGAAATATACTGTCTCTTTCTAAACTGCAGAAAGAGTATATTTCTGTCTCAGATGTGTTTACATACAACATAAATAATGTGTATTGAGTATCAGTATTCTGAGGTTAAGCCAAGCAATGAGAAGAAAAAAATAATTAATATGAACAACAACAAGAAATAGTAGAAGAAGAATATTTGTGCAGCCATGTGTACATTACTTAGGGTTTCAAGGCAAAAGGGCAACAAAAATCCACTGCGAAACATTCCCGTTTTACCAGAAATTGAATGCTCTGGACTTTAATTCCCCTTTACAAAAAGTGAATTGAAAATTGAAAATATTATAATCTAGATGAGGTAAAATTTGACTGAAGAAAAGCAGTTTTTACAAATAGCAAGCAAGAGCCCAGTGGAAAGACTTCCTATCATACTGAGTGTTTCTTCAGTCACATTTCTCACTCATTATGTGTTAATATACCTCTCTGCACTGAATCATACTTATTATTAATCTTTGGCTCTCTTCCAGAACATGTCTTATCCTGTCTTCCTTCTCTCACCCCAATTGGTCCCAGCAGATGTCCCCCCTCCCTGAGCCTGGTTCTGCTGGAGGTTTCTTCCTGTTAAAAGGGAGTTTTTCCTTCCCACTGTCACCAAAGTGCTTTCTCATAGGGATCAAATGATTCTTGGGTTTTTCTCTGTATGTATTATTGTACAGTCTACCTTACAATATAAAGCACCTTGACGTGACTGTTGTTGTGATTTGGCACATAAATAAAATTTAATTGAATTGAATATCATGTCTAAATTAAGCAGCAAGGTCTCTAGAAGCCAAGAGCAGTCCTTATGTTAATTGTTAAGATCGCAGAGTGGATGTTCCTCTTATTTCTACATGCTATCAAAAGCACAGTCCAGTTTTCCCACTTTTCCTCTTGTGAGCAGCTCACCGTTTGGGAGCCTCATGCATTACTTCCAAAACCCTGCCTAACTGGAAATTCCTCATATCCTGCCGAAACATTGCTTGTGTTATTTTTGCTGGTTTGGGAGCCCATGACATGCTTGCCAACTAATTGTTACAAGGTTGGCTGCTACACTGTGTTATGCAACTCTAGTACATGCCATTACGCTCTTGTTAACATTCCTTTGTTGATCAGAGTTCCTGTTTTGTCAGTGGTCATTTTCTTGTTCCCAAATGAAACAAAAACAAAAATTCTAATTCATAAAACATTAGTGGGGTTGTGTGAGATAACGATGTTCTTCCAGGCACTTGGTTATATAACAAGATAACAAGCTTGTAGTGACTGAAACAATCTGCATTCTTTGCCCTCATTGCCCACATTCTGTCCTCACTGATCATGTTTAAGAGCAACAGGCCAAACGAGGTCCTCACATATCAGATAAAGGAGGACTGTCTCGAAGCCTAAAGTAACCACCTGTTGCTTCATAAGGGAGAGATAAGAGACGAGGTGAAAGGCTAGCCGAGTGAAAGTATAACGCCTAGGTGTCGCTCTGTTATGATAAAATGTTGATGATCTGTAAGACATTCATTTCTAATAACGTGTATCACTGCTTTTCAGACTGCAAGGTGTATTATGATTATCAGCGGTACGATAACAAGACGGATGAGGTTGCTTAACTTTTAAAAAAAAACACAGTTTATTGCATATCTTTTCCCAGAACTGAATTTAAATAAACACAAACGGTTTCAGGTTTGTGTCTTTAACTTGTGTGATATTTAAAGTTGTTTCAAAGAAAATTAAACCATCTGGATTCGGAGGTGTCAGAAGAAGATACCTAAAAAATGTGAGATTTTAACAGCAAACCATTTAGGAATGCACTTCCTCCCGCAGTAAGGGGTTTTGAATTTTGCAAATAAAATAAAGACTAATAATCTCTAAGGATTTATGTCTTTGTGCATTTGATCGTTTAAGAAAAAACCCAATGCATTAACAGTTTTGTAGCTAAATATTTTCTGTTTGTGTACCTGAGGTTCATGTCGCCCTGAAGAGCCAAAGCCAGGATGTTGGAGAGAGCTCCTCCGGGACAGCAGCCACAGATCAGAATCACCACAGCTGCTATTTCAGCCAACTTAAACAGCTGTAACGCAATAATCATAGTAACCTCATATGCAAAAGCAACAAAAGCAAGATCTCATGATGACACAAATGTGCACTAAGAATACCTTTAGCATTTTCTTTAATTACTTTTTTTAATTACTGATGATTCCTCTGCAGTTAATGTCATAGTTCATGAATAAATTCTTAATCAGTGAACAGATTAAATGACCATTTTATATATTCAGAAAAAAACAGAAAATACTTTATTTTACTGTTTTAGCGCTACTAACATTAGAAATGACAATTAAAAATGAAGTAAAGAAAAAACAGGAACACAAATATTTTCCAGTACAAACATATTATGCCTACTGCCTTTCTTACTGTAGTGTTTATAATCTTATTTCAGTTTGCATCAGTACCAACCTTAGCTAAGAAAAAAGCTGTGAGAGGCATTATGCCATACTGAGCCACGACTGCGATAGCCACCCCCTTAGGTTTTCTCATATGATGCTGGAAACAGAAGAAGAAAAGTTCACATTAGCATAAGATTGTCTCCTTACATTTAGCTCACATATGAAACTGAACTTGCTGTAGTCACCTTGATCTTGGACACCTCCATGGTGCATCCCAGTGAAACCATGGTAACAAATAAGACAATTATCATAATTATGTTGATGGTTTTGTCCATTACTGGTGACATGGTAGGCATGTAACTGGAGGTGCTGTTTGCATTTGTGTTGTTGAGCCACGGATCTGGATCGGAGATAATATCCACTGTGTGGTCCATGGTGCCTTCAAATCAGAGCTGTGAGTGGAAAATCAAATGATAGAGCAGGCTGACTTTTGCAGGCTCATTCAAAGAATTTTGTATCCTGAGGACAGAAGAGGTGCATTAAATTTCAGTCAGTGTGACTGTTCTAGAGCCAGCAGGCAAAAAGGTATCATTGCAAGTATTTTTAGCAATAAAGCAAGACTGCAGACTCCTAATGACTGAATCATCTGTTTGTATTTTTAATGTTCTACTTTTGATAAATTTTGACATTTTAAGCATTAAAAGCCCATTTCGGGTGCATCATTCCTCATCTAAAAGCAGAGACCTCTTTTTTTCTGTATGTTTGTTCAGCCACTCGTCATCTGTTGAGATTTGTTTTTAAATATGCAACCCCCTGGATATGTTAAGATGTTGTTTCTGTGATTACAGCATTGTGTTCAGACAAAGGGCTGCAAATTCTTTTTTTTATTTATACTCTGTGACTCATTGTGGTCCATAACCAACGGGGCAAACAGAAAACATCTTTGGGAATCTTCCTCAGGGATTTCCACAATGTCAACTCTTTCACAGATGTTCATCTTCAAAGACACAATGCCTCTTGCTTTAAAGGGCTAAGCCAGCAAGGACACACAAAAAGAAAACAAAGACACTTTTTGACTTCATAAAGTTAGAGGAAGTTATTAGTTACCAGTTCATTCAGATTTATTTTTTATTTTTTACATTTCCATTGCAGAAGCTCCTGGATGAGCTTCACCTCTTGAGGTGCTGAAGTCAGTTGTGCACTAGATGGCACCTCTGGACAACCAGACACCTCCAAAGCTCAGTCTGCATAGCCAGCAATAAGTCCAACTTGTTCCCGGTGGGTGTTGGACTCCACCAGGGCTAGTCAGGTGGCTTCCACCTGGGTGGTCTCAGAATCTCATCTTTGCTTTTCACAGATGATGTGGTTCTGCTGGCTTCATCAGGTGGTGGCTTCCACCTGGCCCTCGCGGTCTATGTGGGCCGGGTCCTCAGATGGTCGGGTAGGCCGGAAGTAAACGGCTGTGAAATTGGACGGTCTAGCCTTCAGATTAGCTGTCACCGCTGTCTCGGTGGAGTTTAATAAACTCAGCCGTCTGCTCCTTGCTATCTAAAATATAACAGGACACTGGCGTAAATTCTCGACTGTCTCACACTTCTGTTTAATCAGTTTTCTGTTTGACGTTTATTCAGCTGTGTGAAAACCACCCGAGGGATTAATAAAGTTTTATTTTATCTAATCTAATAACTTTAATCTCAGCCAAACCGATTTACTCACGAACAAAAAAACACTGAAAAAAGCCAACAATAACATTTTTAGGTTGTCTAAGTGACTTATATATTACGTTTAACCTGAGTAGCAAAGTCTGCGGTGATCTGAAAATGATGTGCCGGGAGTTGTGCCGTTCTCGGCGCTCTAGTGACCCTCGAGCTCCGGCGGATAGCAGACGTCTCCGAAAATGTCGAAGCACTTTTGCAAATATGCGATATCTTCATAAACTGAGCAGATATTTGAAGTTTACACAGCTACATTCTCGCCTGAAAATATGTTAAAAGTTTATTTTGTGACCACAGAGTAATAAGAGTAATATTAAAAACTTAGTAGCGCCGCATTGTTGGAAATGGAATTGGCTGGGCCGCGCTATGAATTCTGGGATATGGTGGGCCATGAAGGATACACCCGACCCATCCTTCAAATTCTGGGAAAAGGAGGACGCATTTTTCGGCTGCATTCGGAGGAGTCTACGAATTTGGACAGCCGTCGTCGCGTTGCTGTGGCGTAATCGGCCTACAAATGCAGCCTCAGGAGGATGCAGCCCATGAATTTGGACACGACCTATACCAGTCTGTCCTGGTGACGAGAGAGCTTAAAAGTAGCTGGTAGCTGACAGGGATGCCTACTGGGTGAGGCATGTCCCCCCAGGTGGAGGTCCCTGAGCAGGCCCAGAACAGAGAGATTATATGTCTCGGCTCTCATCTCTGAATGTCTTGGTGTTTCCTTCAACTACAATAACTACAACAGCTCAACAGGCCAAACCCTACAAACCACTGCCCCATCCCTTTCTGCCTCAAATATTTGTCAGTAATTCTGATATTTTAAGCACTAAATGACCATTTTTGGTGCATTATTTTTCATCTACAAGCAAAGCCTCACACAGGCATGTCTTTTTCTGGATATTTGTTCAAAATGCAACCCCCTTGTTCCTTCAATTACAGCTAATCAACAGGATACACAGAAAACATCTTTGGGGACTCTTCGAGGAATTCCACAGTGCTGACTCCTTCACAGATGTTCACTGTCAAAGACACAATGCATTCTTATCTGATTCATTCTTTGAATCAGGTAAGATTCAAAGAATCTTATCAAAGAATCTTATCTTGCTGATCTGATTCATTCTTTGAATGAATCAGATCAGCAAGGACCCACAAAAACAATACATGGACACCTTTTGATTTTCTAAAGTTAGAGAAAGTTATTCGTTAATAGTTCAGTCTTTTTTTGTTTGTTTGTTTCTTATCGTTTTTCATTACAGAAAACTCCCGGAGAGATTGTCTTCTCTTAAGTGCTGTAGTCAGCTGTGCACTAGATGGCACCTCTGGCAAACCAGAAGCCTTCATGTGCATTTGTACAATAACAGGAGTGTCAACACAAAAAGTTGATTTTATGAAAAGAGACGAGAGACGGGAAAGGAAGAATCTGTCCCAGAAGGTAAAGAAAGCACTGAATATCAGCAAATATTTATATATAATATATATATATTATATATATATATTATATCAATTTAAAACTGCAGCTGTTCATTTCTTGGAAATCATCTTGAGAATTTTCCTAATTTCTTCTTTTTCCTACTTTCTGCAGACTGACCTCTAGATCTAGGTGTGCAATTCTCACCTTCAGCACAGTCAAAAAGTAATGCTTGACACCTTTATGTAGCTTTGCTGTGCTGTAGGGTTTTTTTTTTCAAACATGTTCTTGTTTATATGAGCAGAAAACAGAGATGTGCAATCTTGTGAAAGCAATTTGTGTGCACACAGCATGTGAGCATGCCAGCAGGGAGGATGTGGTTGTCACATGGAGATGGAGGCATGCTGGAGTTTGAGGTTTGAAACAAGCAAATGCTGCATGTTGTTGTGCATTAATGCACAGATTAACTAGATTTAAGTGACTTTCAGCGAGACATATGCTTTGTTTAGCTAACTATGCCATGTTAAACACGTTTTATCCAAGTGTTTTTGGTTAAATGTCAAGCACTGTACTTTTAAATGACTTTAAACTCCTTCATCTTCCTGTAAACACAAAATAAGTCATTTTATATCACTGTGTATGCAGCACTGTGTGTGCTATAAAAACAGGATGGTATAAGGTGTGTAGGCTGCAGCAGCATTACCTCAAACACAGTAAGGGAATTCGAAGGAGTTTCAAAGTCTGAACATCTACAGCACATGTAATGATTACATTAAATGGTCTCAGGCCCATATAATGTGTACTATGACCTGTACAACTACTATCTCAAAACAGGGATCTTATCTCAGGTCCGCACAACATCGAGCTTTCTGGGAAAGTAAACAAAGTAGAAACCGTTAAGAGCGATTCAGTGAGGAATGAGACCCCTTTATTTGACTCTCTGATCTAGTTTTATAATTTATTTTCATATATTTTATTTAAGTGAACAAAACTAACTGATATTAAACACCTTTTTCAAGAGGAGTGCACCATAAAGCAGCTTCAACCTATCGAGGATTTCTCTGCATTAACTAGCTCAATAAAACTTAAAATTATCCAATTAGAGAACTTGGATTCCATCGTAATTATTAAGGTTTGTTTTTGCTTCAATCTCTGTGTATGCTCACATACAACAGAGTGTTTGATGGACAAAGGATACTCCTTTAAAGATGACAGTGTTCATATCCAGGGCTGAAAGCATCAATGGTTTCTAAGAGCAGTAATGGAGGCTGTTTACATCCACTGTGACTGACCATCGCTGAACAGAGACATTGTCTTATGACAACAGCTATCAGCCATCTACGATACAATCTTGCGAACCTTTTCCACTCACACCTAGCCTCTAGTGATCTCAAGAAGTCACATGATAGGGTGGGGCAAAGTCTCATAGTGGTTTCACCCTTAACCCTCTAGCATTTTAATGAGCCATGCCTTGTTTCACACCTTGGCTCATGTGATGATCCACATGATCACTAGTAGGTCAATGACCACCCCTAAATAGGAAAACCTACATTAGGAGATTAATACCTGGGCCTATCCTCCTTTGGGTTTTAGAACTGAAGAAGCCTCTTGGATGAGAAGTGAAACATCCTCACAAACTTAAAGAAGGCCGGTTACCGCTTATTTTAAGCTCTCAAGGTTATAATGACCTGGATGACTGAGACCACACAGATGTGTTTAATGCTTCATTTCACTCTTCTGTCACTGAAATTGAACAGAATGAATGCTAAACAGAACAAACCTTTCATGGAAAAACATTGAAAATAAAAATGCAGGTCCTGCAAATAAGGCAGTTGTTAATCTTGGTAATAAATATGCCAATATACATATCATTAGCAATCTGACACGTTCAACTTGTTAAATCTTAACCTCCATACATTTGGAGGTTAAAGTTGCTCATTGATTGACCTGACTTTATTTTGCTTCACAGTGCATCACTCTGGCCTAATGAGCAGCAAACATAGTACCAACTGCAAAACCTGCAAAAAGCCAAAGTTAACTGTCACGGACTGCATTGCACACAACACCAAATCCACATTGTGCAAGACTCACGGTTAAAACAGCTACAATTCCAACCAAATGCACCATAAATATT